ATGTAGTAATATGAATCAAGTGACAGTAAAACTGATTCACAGTAAAAGTAGGGATTATTGCACCCAGTTGCTGGTTAAAGAAGGGTATAAATGGAGATCGGAGGCAGCTCCAAGTGGCTTGGCCTTGAGCTCCACATGGGGTGTACAAAACCTGGAGTTCAATATTGTGGTTTGAGAATGTTTAGACCAGGGGTGCTCAATCCTGTTCCTGGAGATCTACCTTCCTGCAAATTTCAGCTCCAACCCTGATCAAACACAACTATACCAACTAAAGCTGCGGTCACACACTGGACTTTTCTCCCTATAGACTTGCATCCATACGCACATGAATGTGTCAGACTGGAAATGCAGGCTCATGCGACAGGTTTCGCTGTTTACTGCGTTGGAAAGTTTAAGCTTGATAAACTCTGACCTGCTAAATCGTATCATGTGATTGCGTGAGACTTATCAAAGATCAAAACATGACCTTTCTGGACTTTAAAATATGTGGAATATAAATATATAAATATATGGACCAATCGCTCATTTTTTAAAAGGTCTAATAATCATCTTGTTTAATCCTGCCGGTTTCACAGCGACGTACAACAAAATTTTGCACGCACAAACTCTATTGTGATTGCGGCATAAGTCAGATCTGAAGGAGCACTTGGTAATTACAAACAGGTGTGTTTGATCAAGGTTTCAGCTGAACTTTGCAGGAAGGTAGATATCCAGCAACAGGATTGGGCACTCCTGGTCTACACCCAACCTCACAGTAACCTAATGCGATTTATTAATGGCTGTTTCTCAATATGCGTTCTTCAGCGATCTTGTGTTCTCGTGAAACGGCATCATCAACCACCAATGTTCAGTTCCAAAACTCAAGATCGCAAAAACAGAGGACGCGTGAAAGTTCCTGGATGCGTTCGAGTATGTGTTGATGCTGACTTAAGCACCAAACTTGCTCGAGAAAACCCAGAAGTCATTGCGGCTCACTAAAGGAGGTGGGAAGCACAGCATTTTGCATAGATTTATTATTAAAGTTCAGAGATATAACTTATTTATCTTAGGAGTTTCCCTAAATTAGACAGTCAAAGTAAACATTACCATGAAAATCTTTAAAGGCATGAACACATTAAGGGAGTTTATTTGCTGAAATTCGTATTAAAATCGGTTTTATTTGTGTTGTGCAAAGTGTATTTGTAAGGGTTTTGTGGGAAAGGGGGAAAGCAAAAAAAAACATTATATGAATGCTGTAATGTTTGAATAATTTCCAGTTAAAAATACATGAAGGTCATGTGACCATCAGGACAAACGCAGGATTTCATTTCACACAGGACGTGTTTTCTGTTCTCGCGGTCTCCTGAGTTTGTTCTTCTGAGGTGACCTGGCATGACCGGTCTTCGCAAGGATGCAAGTCTGTTCTCTGCGTTTTTGGAATTGAGAAACAGCCAATGTCTATCTACCTACACCACCTAAACCCAATCTATTGTGGCATAGGTCCCTCCCACTTGGAGGTCACCCGGTCTACTTACGATGTAATCCCCCCCACTTGGAAGTCTCTGGGCTGCAGCGATTCCTACTTGACTGTTTGAGGAAAATAAGGGTTTCTTAAAAAGACAGAATAATCATGAGTAAGGTCTTCTGTTTTTGTATGCTTTTGTACAGTTACAAATCCTCTCCCCATATCGTTACTACTATTATTTTGAGTCTAATTTATTGATCAACAAAGACCGTACAGAATATATCTGTCAAGTAAAAGTCTGATGCAGTTGCACTTTATTCGAATTCAGTTTTGTTTTAAATGACCTTGAAAATTAAGTTCATTATTTTTTATTTTTTTGTTAAATGTCCTTTTCATTACTCTTTCCGTTCCATTACTTTTTCCGTTACACTTTCTTGAGAGCATCATAGTCCCATTACATTTTTGTTGGGGCGTATCCCCTTTGCCTTCATGGAGAGCTATAGATAATTAAAAACCTTTATCTGCCTGTGCTTGGTTTGTAAACACAACTCCTTTTCTTTGTGGCATCCTTCTGTCACCATCTTCCTTCATACCCACATCAGGGATGAATCCCTCCATCTGTCCACAGAGGGATGAGGAGCGCAGGCTGTGCTAATGAAAGTCGAACAGGAGGATGTGTGCATAAGCGCCAGTGTGTATGTGCGGGTGTCAGAGTACGAGATTTTGTGACATGCCGTAATCAAAGTTGAATTGCACTGTTCTGAGATAATGCTCTTAGATCAGGGAGGATAAATTCGGGATTGCTCAGATGCCCTTGGCCCCTGCCTCCTCCCACACGCATCTGATGAAATTCAAGGTCGAGTGTTTGCAAAGCCTGGAAAGGCTCCAGTCAAACACCCTGGTCTTAGATGAATGTGGGTGCTTATACTTTGCCCATTGTTTTTTTTTGGACCATTGTCAATGAATTCAGCCAACTGCTCTGTAAGACCTTCACTTGACCTCACTTGACACCTAGAGGGCCTGGAATCTTCTTGTTTTTCAAAAATGAAGAATTATCATGAAAATATAGAGTCTACCACTGCCAGCAGCAACCCACCCAACTTGAAGCCAGGATTTAAGCAGCCTGGTGTCATCTCAGTTTGCCATACTGGAGCCCAGTGTGGAGCGTATGGTGTTTGGCAATTGGTGCACATTTTAACCAGAAGGCTATGAATGAAACAGCCTGAACGAGGAAACATAGCCTTCTTACAACAGATCCAATCTGATATGTCAGAAGACAGTGTATGAATGCAAATGGACCCACACTGATGCTATTTGAAGTATTTGAAGACTAAAATCAATACACCTGTTTTTTTCTTACGAAAATAGCTCTTTCCAGCATTATAGTCCAGTGTGCAGGCACTTTCAAAATGTCTTTTACACACAGTTGTACATTTTTATTGTTATTGCTGTGTAAGTCTGATTATATGTGCTGGCTTTCTGGAGGCACAAAAGGAATTGCATCAAGTGAGACTTGCTTTGTCGCAGTTTTATCCTAGAAAGACAAAGAATTGGAATGAGAAGCATGAATATCCAATTATTTATCAAGTCACACACACAGCTTAAACCCTAAATGTGCCATTTCCTCACATTCCCAGAGATGCTGCATTGTGTGTGTGGTATTAAACATGAATTCATTAGCACTCTTTGATGTGGCTACTCAGCATGTGGTCTCCAGTCCATGTTTGTGTGTGAGTGTGTTAGTGTGTGTGTGTGTGTGTGTGTGTGTGTAACAAACATTCTTTCCAAAAGAAGGACTGGTTTTCTTTTGGCAGCATAGTGGAGTGTTGGAGTACCACCGGCCTGGAGGTCAACTCTTGTTCCCTGTTCAAGATACAGGGAATGCTGTATCCTATCCAACTGCTAGTGCCCTAAAGCAACCTACGGGAAGATGCTAAAATAATAAACCACTGTTTTTGGATGACATTGCAGATTAGCTGATCTTAAAGCTCAGTGCTAGATGCCTTTTAAATATTTTACCACCATGGATTGGCATGGATTCTTGCTCCGAGCTTCCAACCATGCACAGAAAAGCCTCTAGCAAACCAAACCACAAGTTTTTTTTTTTTTTTACAATGCTTTAATATCTACGCATTGCAATTTTATTGTTGTACGAGACATAGCCTAACACATAGTAAACATTCCACATGTCCATTGAGCTATGGTGTACGTATGGAGATTGTGGTTTTAAATCCTGGTTTATTGTTTTTTACTCTTCTCTCCATAGTTTCCCAGCTTGTACATGGGAATACTTAATAGGAAGGATGTTCATTTATCCTTTGGCTTCTGTTTGAACCCACCAAAGAGTCAGAATGTGTATTTTGATTCCGATTTACAATACCACAGTTTCCTTATGAGTGTTTTTGCCTTGACCCACATCTCCCTTCTCTCCTACTTTAAATGTAATCGCTAGTAAATGATACCTGCTGTAGTGTTTTGAAGTGGTTCTTTTCTAGAATTTTTTATCAGAGAACATTATCCCCCACTGCTCAGATTGCACACACTACTATATTTCAAACCATTCCCTTCCATGCACCCAAACACAGATGTGGTAGGACCATTCTCGTGCAAAATGGAAAGTGTACCGAACCCTTTATTACTCTCCTATGCCTTTGAGTGGGCTAACACTCCCTCCCTTAGTGCGTCTCTGCTTTCTGTTTCAATGGCTAATCATTACTGTGGACTCCATACCCTTCACTCTGTATAACGTCTTAATGCCCACTACAACGACTAAGCAGTGATTTTCACATCTGCTGTGAACCACAGCAGTTAAGTGCCAGCCTAAAATACCAATGCTAGTATGCTCTGCAGCTAAAAATACAGTGTTTATGTTGTATGCACTGTCCTGTCTATGCTCTATATATTAGCATTTGTGCCGCTCAACACTACAGTCAAAAGTAACTTTTTTAGAGGAGGATAAAGAGCAAACTGACCCCCCCCCCCCTCTTTTTTTTGTGCAGTCTTTAGCAATTCTTTTTAATTAGCCCTGTGGTCCACTATTACTCACATATTGCAGGCATGACTGTGAGCTCTGCTACTCCTTCAGCTGTGTCAGCAGGTGAACTGCGCTATCTGGAAAGATAGGAGAATATCGGCAAAGCATGCAAATAGCATACCGAGGGGAAAATCAATTAGAGGGCCAGAGGTCCGGCTGTGAGGTGGGGCACAGGCAGAGAAACTGTGCCCATCCTAGCTGTTAACTCCTGGGGCAAATGCATTATCCCATTGATAATGGCATCCATTCATGCCAACTGTGCAAGCTCCTAGAGTGCCCTTTTCCACCTCTCTTTCTTTTTGTAATTACTCATGCACTTTTCAAATGGCTGGAAAACTGTCATGTGGCTTTAACAATTTGTCTACTGAGACCATGCTCTCCCTTCCTCTGTTGAGAATCTTTTGTGGAAGATACAGTGAACGTGAATCGTGTATTCTGTTTTCATTGTTGTTAAAGCTAAGTCTAATATGCTATTAAAGTATCTTTAATGCTTACACTATTCTGTTATTTCTCTCTGTGCAGGTACAGAATGTCCCCAACTTAACAAGAAGCCTGAATACTAAAACAGAACACAGAGTGAGCAGTGGACAGAGAGACACTCTTCCCCCAAGGATCCAGGACAATGGCTTTTCACAATAGGAGATGGAACTTTACTTTTTCTTGCTGCGTTGTTGTCTTGTTGCTTCCCCTTGTGGCTGCAAGACCACAACAACCGTCAGCTGCAACTAGAGTACATGAGGAATACAGTACGTTTCGGGTGGAAAACACAGAATGGACCTTTAACCATCTTGCGGTGGACCACAGAAATGGGAATGTGTATCTTGGGGCAGTGAACCGCATCTACAAACTCTCACCTGGACTGGACATACAGGTGTCACATCAGACCGGTCCAGATGAGGATAACCGGAACTGCTACCCACCCCGTATAGTGCAGCCTTGTAGCGAACCCCTTACGTTGACTAATAACGTCAATAAGATGCTGCTCATGGACTACCGCGAGAACCGGCTGCTGGCATGCGGCAGCTTGTACCAGGGTATTTGCAAACTCCTCCGCCTGGATGATCTCTTTAAACTTGGAGAGCCCTTTCATAAAAAAGAGCACTACCTTTCTGGCGTCAATGAGAGCGGCTCCGTGTTTGGGGTCATCGTGTCTTATGGTGATGCCTCGCCTGATAAGTTGTTCGTGGCCACAGCTGTTGATGGGAGACCAGAGTACTTCCCAACAATATCCAGCCGTAAGCTCACCCGGAACTCCGAGGAGGATGGGATGTTTGCCTACGTCTTCCACGATGAATTTGTTGCCTCTATGATTAAAATCCCATCGGATACATTCACAGTGGTACCAGACTTTGACATCTATTACGTCTATGGGTTCAGCAGTGGAAATTTTGTGTATTTTCTCACATTGCAACCTGAAATGGGCGGAGGACCGACTACAGGGTCATCCTCAGCTGGGCGTGAACAGGTGTACACTTCTAAACTAGTTAGACTCTGCAAGGATGACACTGCATTTAACTCCTATGTTGAGGTTCCTCTTGGTTGCGTTAAGGGTGGGGTAGAGTATCGCCTTCTACAGGCAGCCTACCTGTCCAAAGCAGGAACCATTCTGGCACGTTCATTGGGTATAGGACCTGATGATGACATCCTTTATGCCGTGTTCTCCAAAGGACAAAAAAGGAGGCCCAAAGAGTCATCTCAGGAGTCCGCTCTCTGCGTGTTCACTCTGAAAGAAATTAACGAAAGAATAAAGGACCGGCTGCAGTCATGCTATAAAGGAGAGGGAACCCTCGATCTGGCCTGGCTCAAAGTGAAAGACATCTCGTGCAGTAGTGCGGTGAGTACATTCAAAATCACAACACCCCTGCTTACCTGTCCTTAGCAGAACAAAACCGCTCGTGACAGTTACTATAGTAACACACTATGATTTAAAATGATTGCTTATGTGAGCGTTCAGTGTTAGTCATCAAATTGTACACAATTTGAAGTTGTTGAAACAAGACCATTCAAGTTTTTACCAGAGCGTAGGGCTAATTTGGGTCAAATAAAGGCACATGTATGAGGTAGTGCCCACTAGCAATACAATACCACTTTTGATAAATTACCACTAGCTGTGCTTATAACAAGCCTTTTGACAACACAGGACAAGGTATCGAAATAAAGTGACATTTTTAATGGTTTCCTAGAAACTGACTGTTATGAAAGCAAAAGCTTGTATTTTAAGCTGTGGGTGTTTGGGCTAAATGAATTGGAGAATTTTTCATTGAAGTTATAGTCTGCATTTTAAACCAATGCATGCCGAGGGGCAATGATGTTGGTTTTGTAGTCGGCACGCCACATTTTTTGGAATGTTTTTTACTTTGTATTCCTCTTCATTTATTTCTCACAGCAGTGACAACATAATTGCTGCCATTTTGACTACCAACTTACAGTATGTCTAGTTCCAAACAAAATCATTCATTTGTTACAATAGTTTTCACTCAGTTCCGCACAACAAGGTTACAATGTTTGTCACAAAGCAAACCTTTCAGACCTTTAGATAAAACACAGCTAAGCTGTAGAAAAATGTACTGCACAAAGCACTCAGTAACACAACCAATGAATTTGAACTCCATTTAGAAACATCAATGCTGGTTAAATTGAGCCAGGTTAAACGCTATAGAAAAGAACGAGCTGTTCAGGCATTTACAAGAAATATTTTGTAACAATAGCATGGCAGTCAGTAACTTTGTAGTAAATCTGTATACTATGATATTTGCCATTATATTGTGATTGTACGATTTCGTACCATACACAAGTTTTTTCCTGATGTGTGGACAATATGTGTGTAAACTGAGTGAACACACACTCAAAGACACTCACACACAAGAATAAATGTGAAGCAGACTGTAAGAGAGTCGTGATAAGTCTACGGTTAGAGAGGGAGGAAGACAGGGAGTTATGTTGAGGAATGGTGCCATTTCTGCATGCACTGCAGTATGGCCACTGCAGCATAAATTAAAGAGAGAGCGTCACAGCGAGGAGAGAGAGATGGATGGTCTGCGTCTCCTCCTCTGGTAACTATGGCTACTAGCTCCTCATTTAAAAGCCAGGCAAGTGTTTGATTGGGGAAGTGAAAAACACAAGTGAGCTCAAACACATTACATCTGAGACTGATAAATGCTCTGTTACTGCTTAAATTATCCTGATAACTGATCTCGGAAACAAATAGAAGCACATTCATGCACTTGTACCAGGGTTACTGCTTAAATTATCCTCTCTGCGAACTGATCACAAAAACAAATATAAGCACAACCATGCACTTACAGAGGCGTATGAAAAACAAAGTGAAATAGACACTTTAATACATAAGCACATATTAGGTACGATTCATCATGATTCATGTATGTTTTTTTTTCATTTGGGATTCACAGTATACTAGTTTTGAGTTTATAAATATATGTAATTTGTTATTGGTGTTTAAATGTATTGGGTATTGGGGTTTTTTCAGGGCAGGGCGATTAATCGGAAAGTAATCTAAATCGACATTCAAAACCTATAATCAATCAAATATTTCTAGGTCAATTTTTAAAATTACTTTTCCGACCGCGTGTGGAGTCACGTGACTCTGCTCTGTTTACTACACATTGCAACGATGCGCTGCAATGACAAGTGTGGAGAGTCGTGGGAGAGCCCGTTTTATCGAGTGTTTACAAGTGTTGAGCTCCATATGGAAACTTTTGTTTTGTGTTTACCTTATGATTAAAAAAGTTGTTGCACATCCGTTGGTTCCCGATGATGGACCCATTCTTGAGGCTTACTTTGCACTACATTGGTAATGATTGGAAGCTGCACCTAAGATGATTTGAGACGGTATAATATATATGAGCATATTTACTGTACAAAACCTTTCACTGAACTATAAGGGCAAAATAAAAGAAATAATAAAATAATTGTTCATTAATCGTTATCGAGTTAAAATATTCAATTATCTAGATTTTGATTTTAGGCCAAACCGCCCAGCCCTAGGTTTTGTCACACTTTTTGGTAGATTTGTGATGGCCAAATTCAATTATTAAGTTAAAATGTATTATTGATTCATTTATTCATTCATGTTCCTTCAGCTTAGTTTCTGTTTCAGAGGTCGCCACAGCGGAATAAATCTCCAACTATTATAGCATAGGTTTTACACAGTGGATGCCCTTCCAGCCGCAACCCAGTACTGGGAAACACCATACACTCTCATTCACACACAAACTCATACACTACGCCCAATTTAGTTTATTAAATTCCCCTATAGCGCATGTCTTTGGACTGTGAGAAACCGGAGCACCCGGAGGAAACCCAACTAAACAAGGGGAGAACATACAAACTCTACACAGAAATGCCAACTGGCCCAGCCGGGACTCAAACCAGCAGCCTTCTTGCTGTGAGGCGACAGTGCTAAACACTGAGACAAAATTGCATTGGAAATGGTCATATTAAATGTTATGGCAAGCTGTTTTATATGTAATTAATTATATAACTTATAATATCTTTACTTAAATTATTAAACTAATGACTTTAGAGATATGCTCTGACAAAGACTACTTCTAACCAATTATATTATAACATTATGCCCTTTATTTTATAACATGGATCAAATAAAACATAACCTACATTCCTTTTGCTGAATATTCTGTTTTATCTGGGAATATGGTACATTTATGGACGTTAAATGCATTATGAATGCTGTTTCATGTTGTCTTTCTCAGTAAGCAGACTACATTAGGTATAAAGCAGCTTCCAAACACCCACAGGCAGAAGGAACATGGGCACGATCGCGCTGACTCACCTATGAATAAAAGCACACGCTCATAGACGGATACATTCAGACACTCTTGTTTTTCAGCAAAACACCCACAAACACACACATTCAAAAGCCTCCCAGGGCTAAAAAAGAATGGCATATCTGTCGGGCTGTTCTGTGACTGAAGCTAAACGCTTTTGGGCTGCGGTATTCCTGAATCCTCGCTCAACGGGACCATGTTGACGAGATAAAAAGTTCGGAATGACAGGAGTGAGAAAACGATTTCCAAACCTCGGGTAGATGGATGTTTTGCTAATATCTCTAGCGTGATTTTACAAGAATCACAGTTGTTGGTCTCAGATGGGTTTATGTTTTCAATAATGTATGAAAAACTCAGTGCTGCAGAGTTAAAATATTGCATATCATCGTTCACAGAGGACGGCAAACATATACAAGCTGCTTTTTACAAACCGAGAATCGCGAAAGAAAAGAAAAATAACGGGAAGCTTTTTGACTTCCCTGATATGAAAGTCTAATTAAGTAAGCGGAGACGCTCTGTGAGATCAAGCAAGCCCCTCTTCATGAATGCGAAGATAACGTTCTCTCAATATTCAGCCCTCTGCAAACGTTACATCAACATGACATGATAGTAATGCAGGTTCGGTGAAGATATGAAAGTGATGTATATCTTAATATCCTCTCTGTGCCCTCTGCAGACGATAAGGATATTATGCTGTGAAGAAAAAAAAACCTAGCATAATGTAAGCCTGGATCATATGAGATATATCTCTAGTTCTGTCCAAAATTCAGCTCTTTACTAGCAGTCATCGTCATGGATCATGTGCAGACAGATGACATGGATGAATAGCTTTTTTATTATTTTAGATGCATATCGACAATAGAATAGAAAAATATGTATAAATGATGATCTAATCATGCTGGGACCTAACAATGAGATTATTTACCATGAGTTCTATAAATTGTTTTTGGATTATTCAATTTTAGCTGAATTGTTTCTTTCTTAACTTGCTTTTCTTTTGATGTAAACGTCCATAGGACACATGTGCCATGTTTATGGTGCTGTGTCAACTTCGACTTTGTAAAATCCAAAGGTGACTGCATTCATCCTGTCAGTGGCTTTTTTTTTCATCACTTTAGAATTATAAGGTTCTATCTGACATTTTTGTCAAAATTGAGTTATTTACAATATCTCAAAATCATTCAGAATGCAGACAGAACCTTATAATTCAAAGATGACATTTTGTCTTTTTTTTTTACCGTGATAGGTAAGGGTGTAACAGATAACAGTTGATTCATGATTCGTACGGATCACAACCCACGGTTTGGAACACACATGACCCGCAGATTAATACATTTTGTTTTACTTAGATTAATTTTGTAACGATCACAGAGAGATCGCCTCTTGCATCATTCAAATCGCATGTATGAAAGCATTTAGGCTTTCCTGTAAAATATAATGCTGATGGAAGAAGTTGTGGTAGGTTATTGGTGATGCAATGAAGCAAAGGTGTTTTCTGTCACTACTTGTTTTGCCTGCATTAATGCATTCAGTGTAAAATGCACGATTAACCATTAAAAGATCGGGATCTCAACACCCACGCAGCATAAATTATAAATGACTGTAATTTGCATATGTTTATGAATTCTTCGAATCGCTGCATTCAAATCTGTGTTTGAAAAACGAAAAAATCAAGAAAGAAATTCAGTCTTTAGTCTTTTAAGTTAGTTATGAAGTTACAAACAGTCAAAAAACACAAAAGTAATGGAATAACAGTTTATATTACATTATTTAACCAATAGGTGGTGACAACCAGCCATCAAAAATTTATTCATTCATTCATTCATTTTCTTTTTGGCTTAGTCCCTTTATTAATCTGGGGTCGCCACAGCGGAATAAACCGCCAACTTATTCCGCATATGTTTTATGCAACGGATGCAACCCTTCACTGGGAAACATCCATACACACTCATTCACACACATACACTACGGACAATTTAGCTTACACAATTCACCTATATTGCATGTCTTTGGACTTGTTGGGGAAACC